GCTGCAGTGCAAGAAGGGGGTGGGGGGGTGATGGAGTCTCAGGAGCCCTTAACATGCACCCAGACCCACTTGCATGGCATGGAGTTTTGGGTCAGGCCGAGACCCTGCATTAAAAGGGCCCCTAAATTGATAAAATGATGTCTGGAAGTGCTTTGAAGCTTCATAGGGAGCTGTAGCATCCCCCCCACAGAGCACCTGGGGCTGCATTTGGGGCTTATGCCCATGAAGGAGTGCCATCAACCCAGCAGGAAAGCTCTTCCAGTACAGCCCAGGAGAGCAGACTGCAGACAGGACTGTGCTAAGCACTTGGATGGATCAATCTAGATCTAACTCTTCTATGGTTACAGCCTCATTCACACACATTATCATCTATTTAATTCCTGTTCTGGCTGAATTAAAGTCAACGTGTTGTCCTCCTGGTGCCAAGGGTGAGCTCTGTGTCTCAATGTGCTTTGAGGTCACCACTGTGGGATCCCGCTGGCTTCTGATGGCACAGGGATTTCCATTGAGGACAGTTTCCTCCAGATATTAAGTGGTTGGAGGTGGGCTGGACCCTGACTCACACCACGGGGTTGTTCCCACAGCCTCTCAGATCCATGGTGTTACCAACACAGCCTTTGGCTGCTGCCAGTAATGAGTTTTTCCGGCCCAGGATGAGAGCCAGGTTGTGCTTGCTGGTGTGGAACATTGCATTTATTTGCTTTCCTTTCATAACCTGGCTCACAGGCTCTGCCAGATGAGGCTTTAACCCTCATTGGGGCAGAGTGGACCTCAATAGTTTCTCCCCCTGAGCAGCCTGACAGCAGGAGCAAGGTGCTGAGAGGGCACGGAGCAGGAGCCAGGCTGGCCTTGTAGGTGCTGTAATGATATGGATCTTTAGTGCAAAAGGAAAGTGAAAAGGTGCAGAATCCTCCCTCCCCTCAAGCAACCGATGGTATCGAGTTCAGCCCAGCTGCTGCCAACCCAAGTGCTTGTCATGGTCATCACCAGCCCATGGGCACACATAGAACCCCTCCAAAGGAAGGTTTTGGAAACAAAGAGAAACTTGCTGCTGAAGGGAACAAGGTGCCAGGGACAGACACGGCCAAGGGATGTGGGCACGTGGCAAGGCAGGTGCCTGGGCACGGGGCATCCTGGGGTGAGGAAGACAGAGAGGAAGCACGGGGCTGCTCCCTGCCTGCACATCCGCTGGGGCAGTCCTGGTGCAGAACCCTCCCCGCACCACTCCAGCCCTGGTTTCAATCATCTCTCGATTACACGCAGTTTGCTTTTGTTGACAGCACATTTACTTGCACTTGTCAAGTACGCTGTAAATCGTGAGAGAATCAGCCCTGCCCTTCCTGATCGGAGCAGCGGCCAGGAAGGGGCCGGGTGCCTCATTCCCAGGGCCCGCTCGGGATCGGTCCACGCCTGCTCACAGCATCAGCAGCCACGGGGGAGAGAGAGGCGGCCGCGATCCGAAAAGTGCCGAGGATCCACCAGCTCCCTCAGGGAGCGCCAGGAGCACCCATCCTCAGCTCCCACGGCCCAAAGTCCGCACCACCAAGTGTCCGTAATTATTTAGCTTAAGGACAATCTACATCTTTCAGACACAGCCAGCCATCATCTCCGAGGTAATCTCAGGTCACGGAGTCAGAAGGAAGAGTAATCAGCCGTTCTGAGTGTGGAAGACACAAAGAAACAAGCAGTGAGAATCAGGTTCGTTATCTGCACGGCGCTGCGCTGTTTGTTTCTGTCCCCACAGCCAAAGCTGCTGGAGCAGCTCCAGCCCCGGTGCCTCCACCTCGCTCTGCACTGCAGATTGCCCTGTGCTAATGTGGAAACTGGAGCAGTGCAGTAATGTAGGGTTAAAAAAAGCACCGTGCTCTGTGCAGATGGTCATTATTCGGCCCAAGGAGGCAGCGTCGCTAACTCAATTAATGCATAAAGCTGCTTTTGCTATAATCACATTGCGGTGGCTGTGGCTCCTCACCAGCCCCAGCCCACCTCCAGGCTCTGCACCAACCCATTTGGGGATGTTTGTCAGCAAATGGGGTCACACCACCAGCATGTGTTATGGAGCAGATCCACAGATCCCTGCCCAGCACAAGCAAAGGCAGGGAGCAGCCACCTGAGTCAGGCTCAGACCCCAGGACAAGGGGCAGGGAGGCTTTGTGGATGGAGAAAATATCCACAGCACAACTCCTGTGAGCTGCTGCAGTCACAGGATGAGCTCACTGCTCGGAGTAGTTCCACCAAGCCCTATAGGGATGGCAGAGAAGCCACCAGAGCCCTGCTCCCACCCACATCCCATCACTAGGGGACCAGCCAGCAGGACCACACCAACAGTCCTGGTTATCCCCAGGGCTGATGCTGCACTCACGGGCAGCAAAAGCTCATCAGGACTATGGTGGGACCACCATTCATTTGTCCCAACTGGTTTCTCTTCCTACACCCCCAGAATCAGATGCACTGCAAATGGTGGCTCCAGCACCCAACAGCTTCACCTCCCAGAGGAGGTAACAATAGCTGTCCCTGAGCCAGGAACACCTTCATGCAAGTCCCACCTATTTGGGTACAGTTTTGGGGCCCTGGTAAAACAAGAAGTACCATCTCAAAGCCCTAAACTTGTCCTCATTCCCACAGCTCCAAGAAGTCACCGATGTACAGCTGTGCTCAGACCATCCAGTCCCTGCTCTCCAGACAGGACCATCCCACTGCAGAACCTCTGCTCCATCACAAAGCCTATGTTTTGGAAAGGACTCAGGGCCACTGGCAGCATAGCTGTGCAGAAGGGAGAGCTGTGCCCAGCTCGGGGGCTGGAGGAGCTGCTCTCTGCTCCAGCAGCATTGCTTTCTCAGCTCTAGTGCACAGCTGGCACACCACACATCTCTGCCTGGTACCAAGGCCACATCAGCCCGGGGCTCCTGGTGCCCCACAAAGCCATGTCCCTAGACAAGCAGACTCCTGCCAAGCTGGCACAAATCTGAAGGCCATACAAATCAGATTCCCATTTGGAGCAGAAATCAGCCATGCAGAAGCTGATATTTCCAGCTTAATTTGTCTGCTCACAGAAGGTAGACAGTGTCAGCTTTCCTTAAATAGCCCCAATATCAAATGCCTTGTAAGCAGTGAGAGGAAGCTCCCGGATCACTCCTCCCTTTCAGGAGGCTGATCTCCCTGCACACACCCTGCTGCACTGCCATCCCAGGGATGGTGCCTGACGTGTGGTGTCATTTCAAGCAGCATCCACCACTCCAATGTGTCTGTGCCTGGCTGTTCAGGAGCTGCCCTCAGACCCTGTGCTGTTTCCTCCTGCACTTCAGGATCAGGTTTGTTGTAGAATTGCAGCCAGGAAGCTTTATACCTTGCTGGGCTCTGAGCAAAGCAAAGCACCTGGCAGCGGCTCTCACTGCTTCTTTTCTTCCTCCCAGCCCCATGTCCTAAGAATAGGATTTCCATCAGCTTCAGCAAGTGTAAATAAATCCCTATCACAACACTGGAGAGCTCACCCTAGCCTCTGTTCCTCTGTTCTCCTCTGTTCCCCAAATCTTCCTCTCTGTCACAGGGGTACAGGAAAGCCTTTTAGATGGTACTTTTTCACCTATCCAGTAGCACCACAATAGCACGAGGAGTGGGCACCCCCAGAGCTGTGCTCTGAGCCACGGGGTCTGTAGATTGAGCAGATAGCCCCACACATTGCCCCAGACACAGAACCTGGGGCGGGGATGGAGAGCGGAGCCCATACCATGATGGAGAGCTGCTGAGCTCCCCTGTTTGCAATGCTCACAGCTTTGCCCCAGAGAATCCCCAGCCCAGACGGGATGTCAGCCAGCCCAGGGCATAGCCCTGTCACCGCATCATGACAGCAAGAGATGTCACAGAACCTGGTCACTGCACTGCCCCTCTGCTATTTGCATTTGGAGCTTGGGTTGTTAACCAGGTTCTCAGGCTTTTTGTGCTGTTGCTATTTTGGTAGGGCTGAACAGGCAGGAAGAGGAATCCAAAGGCTCTGCCTCCTGCAGAGACGCTGCGAGCGCTGACCTGGCGTGGGATGCTGCAGGGCAAAAGCTGCATTGCTCTGCCTCTATGCCTGGCAGCCATGCAGCAAGAGCAAAAGCCAGACCACCCAACGGGCTGCAACAAACGGCCCCACAGCATGGGCACTGCTCCATCACTGGGCACAGGGAGGCGTCTGGGAGCTTTGCCCCCAGGATATCCAATTGCATTACCTAAAGCATTTTATATGCTCAGCACAGCATGTTCCTCTCACCCCAGCTTAGCAGCCCCCCACCACTAGTCCAGTCCCAGCCCTGAGGGACCAGATGGCTCCAGCACCAACGGTTCCACGCAGCCCCTCCAGGCAGTGCTGCCATGCACCAAGCAGAGGTGCTGACTGCATTCTCACCAGGCAGACGCACCCTACATGCTTCAAACCCACCTCATGCACACATTTCTCCTGCCAGCCCTTCTGAGATCACGTTCTTGGGCCAGGCTGAAGCTCTTCAGTGTGGGAAAGCACCGGTGTGGCTGCCCTGGTTATGGACAGCAGCGCTCAAAGGACCTTCCCATGCTGTGGGAACCTGAGCATCACAGCACGTCCGAGTGCACAGAAGGACACATCTCCACATCGCTGCTCCCATGACCCCAGTACCTTTCAACTGGGACCCAGAGATCACAGCCTCAGCCACCCCCTCAGCACCAGGCCCTGCCCTGTAGCCAAGTCCTGCAGAAAGGCCACACGATGAGCTGCACGGCCTCAGCTGTCCAAATACAGATGCTAGGAGGCGTAAGAATCAGGCAGTGCTACTCAATTCAGCTCAGCGGATGCAAAAGCAATCACTGCTTCCCCAAGCTGGACAGGAAGCTGCAGACGCTGCAGTGCTTAAATGCAAACTCCCTCCTCACCTGGCACAAAAACCATCCCCAGAGCATCACTGGAGCACAGCCCCATGGCACTCAGAGCCTTGCAGTGCTCTGAGCAGGGGTTCCATCAGGGCTGCACTGCACAGGCTGCTTACCTTGCTCTCTGTGGGAGCCGATGCCGGATGTTGCTGCTTGGTGATGTTCTCAGCCAGACACCAGCAGATCCTCTTCTTCTGCTCCTGGGAGTAAGCCTCCAAACTTAATAAGCACTCCGACTTCTGACGTAAAGGAAACACAGGCAGAGAGAAGGTCATTAGCTGCACGGCGCAGGCCCTGGCTTTGTTTGCAAACTCCTCACTTCCAGCACGCTGTCAGATGAACAAGGGTGTAAGGGGGGGCTCATGGTGCCCAGAGCTCTGGACACGAGGAATTAAAACAGGTGAGAAATCAGCTGCGGAGGGGCTCCTGCTGCTGGCAGACAGGGAAGGTGGTGGGTGCAGATTTGGCTGTAAGAGGTGGGAGCAGAGCAGTAAGGTGCAGGCACTGGCAATTCTGCACCCTATGCCACCACCGTGTGAACGTGCTTATTCAGCTGCACTGGGAGGAGGAAGAAATAGCTCTTTGCTGTATGCAAACATTAGCAAGAAGTCGAGTCAAAGGAAACAACTTGGGGCTGGGAAGGGCTGGGAGGGACGCAGGTCTCCTCCGTTAGGGCAGCAGGGGAAGTTTGGAGGAGGATGCTCAGCACTGCTGACATGCTGCCTGTGAGCAGCATGTGGCAAGGAGGAAATGAATGGAGGGAAAGGAGGGGAGCCTGGGAGTCCACCCCTGTGATCCCAGTGTGAGCTCCTGGGCCTGCTGCTACCCCTTGTGCCCCAGTCTTACACAGCCCCATTGTGACTGGGACCTGTTCTTCTTCCTCATGTCTTCTTTGGGCCAAATACCAATCATTTACAAAACCATCTGCTCAAATTCCCTCACAAATGCTCTTTCATTGCTCATCTCTCTTAAAAAAATGAAGCATTAGCAGCAATTGATGCCTATTGGAATTTTGCAGTACTTGCTTTAAAAAGGGCCAAGAATGCCTGACAGGTTACCTCCATCTGTATCCGGATGTGAAAAAAAGTGGAACTTTGGGACAGAAGTGCAAAGAAAGAAAAATGTCCTGTACTAAAATGGGATGAAAAAAGTCTTTCATTTCCCCCTAGGATTTCCTTGCAGAGGGGCAGCTCTCTGGCTTGCTTGCTTTTCCCAGAAAGGTCAGACAGAACTAAGGAACTTGCACTTTGTGACTCCAGAGACACACAACTGAAAGGGGAAATACTGTTTAGTCACACAATTTAAAACTGTTTGCATTGGATGCAAACTCATTCATGTGTAATCCACAATTCCTGCCATAGAGGTAAACAAACCAACCTCCTGTGTCAGCTCTAGCAAAACAGCTCTAGCCCAGCTCTCTTCCCCCTCCAAGGAGACTTCTAAAGAAAGAAGTTTTGACTTTTCTTACGTCTGTGCTTCACCACTTCTATTCCTAGAGCAGAAATGGGCTTAAATATGGAAAATGCATGACAGGCTGATCTATATACAAAACCAAATAGAGGACACAAGGTGGGTGACTCTGTGCCCTCAAATACCAATTGCTTTGATGTTCTGTTGGAACAATAGTGCTCATATGTACAGCTGATGTCTGGGTTTCACCCCATCCCACCAGGCTGTAGCACTGTGACACCCACCTGACCCCAGAAAAGCATTTAATCTTTCCTGCTTTCAGGGGAAAGGACAGGTGCCCATCTACACACAGGAAATCCAGGCTAGCACTTACCCACCCTGCACCTGGGGCAGAACCAAATGATGAGAAGGACTCAGAAGAGCTTAAAAACCAGCTGCAGAGCCCAGTGGCACAACGATACTTTAACTAATGCATGCTCCAGTCCCCACTAAGCTCCTGCAATTCCCTGGGCACGAGCCTTAAAGTGATTCCAAGGGCATCTCAGCTCCCCTTGCTCATGATGGATGCGTGGCTCACCTTACCCTGCTGTGCAGCCCCTTGTTGATTTGATTACTGTCCCCATTTCTCTGATTGAATTTGGCAGAAAGCGATGCTCAGCCACCACTGGCAGCCGATGGCAAAGTGCCTCTTTGCCCCCACCCTGCTCAGCAGCACAGCAGCAGAACAGCTAGGAGAAAAGGCAGCTTCTGAGTGCAGCCCAAGGAGGGCTGTAGGGACCACACTGCCCAGCCCAGGCAACCACAGGGCTACAGCACGAGCAGCTGCTCTTGAGAGTGCTGGGAACCAACCTCCCCACTACTGTTTTCATTCAGGGAGGTTGCTGCTTTGCCTGCCAATATTTACAAAGAGAAAATAGGGTTTAATCTCACGATGCTGGGAAAAGAGGATGCAGATGGTGTGAATGGGGTGTTTGTGACCAGATAAAGTGAGCAACTGAAGTGGCTGCCAGTGGCTTTCTGCCTGCATTCGTCCCAGCATTTTGAAAAACATGTTATTGCAGGTGCTGCTCAGTGAGGTTAGTGGACCCTGTACCAGTGCTGGACCCTGCAGGAAAGCACGAGGAAAACATCAAGAGAAGAGGACTCAGAGTAGCCAACACAAGCCCTAATTGTGCCCTGTTTCAGCCAGTGGAGTCCAAAGGATAATCCCTGCTTGCCAAGGTGTGAAAAGCTCTCTGCCATAGGGCACTCCCCAGGCTGTGCACACAGGGAAACAGCAGGCATGGAGGCAGCAGGCAGAGCTCCTGGGTGCCTGGCAGATACCAGCCAAAGGGGGGACACCAGCTCTGTGGCCCATGAATCAGCTCAGGACCTCCTGGAGAGCAGCTCCCAGACCCTACACACCAAATGCCCTGCTGCAAGCACATCCCTTGGTGCAGGACCAATTGCAGAACCAGGTGTGCAAGCATGGCTCTATACATGGCTGCAAAGCAAAGATAAAAAAGAAGGAGCCAGCCCCAGCCTGACACCCTCCATTGTTGAGCTCAGCAACCAGCCTGGCACAGGGGCTGGTCTCATCTCAGACTGCTGGCACAGCCAGGTCCCTGGGTGAACATTTCATAGAATCATAGACCTAGGGAATATCCCAGAGTTGGAAGGGAGCCACAAGGATCATCGAGTTCAACCCTGCGGAGCTTCCCTGCACAGATGAGCTCTGCTCCCTTCCCCAGCTGCTCTGTTCCCCTGTGGGTTTTATGGCAAGGTGGTGCAAGGCTCACAGCCTGGCCCCTGGCTCCATCATTCAGAGCTTGGTCCATGGCCAAACCCAGCAGAGATCCCAAAGGGGAAGTACCTCGGAAATGGGCTCCAGACTACAATAGCTTTCAAATCTCAGAGAAAACCTTCTACTGGTAAAACAGCAAGCCCTGGGAATATCCTGTGCACAACACTGCCTTCATGCCCTGCTTGAGGCTGATGAGAGCTTGGTCTGATGAGAAAGTTGAGTTTCTTACTGAGTTTCCTTACTGGGGGGGCCGTGGGGACCACATCTCTTCCTGTGTTTTTTGGACTGCTGGGCACACTGTGGCACTAACAGCATGGGTCCTACGGAAAGCTGAGATGGCCAAAAGGTGATGGGGTCTCATGGGTGCTTGAACAGATGCACACAGAGCTGCCATGCGTGGAGCAGAGTAATTCCTGCAGAGAAGTGTGGCCATGTGGCTCATTTTCAGGCCAGGAAGACTCTATAACTGGAAGTAAAGGATGGTTGCATCCCATCCTTCCTCACCACATCAAAGGTTGGCTCTTACAAAATGAGTTTTCTCAGTGTCCTACAGCCACAAAAAGGCAGGGAGCAGTGAAGCTGCCACGTCAGCTGCATACACCTGTGACACCTGTTCATAAGGGGTTCATAAGAAAACAGCCTTCACAGGAATCCCCAGCCCTGACACAAACCACAGAGCTCCCTGGGCAAACACTGCTTCAACAAACAGAGAACAGGTCTACTGATTCCCATGCTGCAAAAGCTGTTCTCTCTCAGGCAAGAAGGCTCAGCCCCAGAGACAGTAACACCAAGCTTACCCACCTCCTGCAGATACAGCCCCAGAGCTAAGGGTCCCTCTGTCCCCAGCATCGGCCCTGGAGACAAAGCTCCAGCTTCCCTCTCCAAAATCACCCAGTGGTGCCTGTGTCAAAAAGCTTTCTATTAATTTAACTGCTTCTTATCAGAGGCCCTTTTTGCCAACTTCCAGTAAATGTGACCGCAGAATTAGAGCCAGAAGAAAAATGTTAGAACTTCTGCTCTAAAATATACATGTCATGGTCATCTCAGAACTTGGATTGATGTTGAACTGCAAAGATTTACACAACCATGGAGGCAAAGTACATCTTTGATTGTGTTTCTCCAACTGGGGAACAAATACTGCTGCTCCATCCAAAGAGATCTGGTCTGGGAGCTGCTGTAATGCCTGGCCATGGGTTGTACCAGCCTGGGGCTTCTGCTACTTGTATCACTCCACATCAAAGGCAGGTGAACACACACCAGCAAAATATTCAGTGTCCCAGGCAGAGGAGCAGCCTAGCCAACAGCTCCAGAGCCATGGCTTTGTGTGCTTTGGCTGAGGGCACACACCAGGAGAGCACTGGCTTGGACCAAAGGAATGTCATTTGAAGGACAGATCCTTCCAATACAACTGCAAGCATTTCAGCTGTACTGAAATTTGGGGCACATGCTGGGGTGCAGCATAGGACTGCATCAGCATTTGGAGTAACCTGCACATTCCCTCCTTAACACTTCTCAGAATGCTGTCAGTCTTGTACTGGTGTTACCTCCCTGAACCTGCAATTCAGGCTGCAGAGCTCAGACTTCTCAATGCTGTGCACAGGGAACTCAGCAGCACCAACCTTTGGATGGAGGAAAAAGGAAACTTTCATTTGGGACAGAGTTAAACTGTTGCTGTAGGCATGAGGTGACAGAGGGATTCAGCACGTGCAGGTTGAGCATCCAGCCTTCATGTAAGCTGGGTGACTTGAAGTGATGCATGCCACAGGCCCACATGGTGCAGAGCCCAGCAGTGAGCAATTACCTGTAGGACACCAGGAAGCAAAGGAAAAGTCCAAGAGCAGGAAGGGATTCCTCAGCCCAGGACCAGCTCAGTGGGTAGAGGGAGGGAGTCCTCCCAGCAGCAAATAGGACCATGAGCAGGAAGGGGAAGGTAGAGGAGCACACTTTGCCTTCTCTCAATGTGCATCAAATTAATGCAATAAAAGTGACAGGAGCAGGCAGTAAGGAGTGTAGGTTTTTTTTCTACTTAAGTCCTAAGTATGACTGACTTCAACATTTCTAACCTTGGCTGCAGTGTTTGCTCTACTGAGACCCTTGGGAGAGATGAAGTACGAAATCCCAGAGGATCTTCCACCTTCCTGCAGCATAACACGTCCCAGCTCACCTGGCAAACAACACAGCCCATGAACCTGACAAACAATATCTCTTTACTTATAGCAGATGAGAGGAAATTGAGACAACTTCAGCTGAGCAGATAGCCCACAGATAACCACACTCTCCCCCATCCTGCACACATTACACAACACCAGCTGACACTGATGGAGTGTTCTAGGAGGGATGAAGGCATCACTCAGGCTGCGCCAGCCCCACCAGGGAGCTGAGGAACTCAGAGGATTCCACACAGCAGAGCCCAACCCAGCCCACCAGATCTCCAATAATGTCAGGAAAAGGGAAAAAGGAAACAGGTCCCTTGACTTTGACTCACTGCCAAAACCATCCCATTTTGGGTGGAAACATATTCAGCCCCAAATGCAAGTCTTACAGTTGTCACTTCTGGGTCAGAAGAGAGCGATAGAGGATATCTCATCTGTAGTTGACTGCATCCCAAAAGTTTATAACTATTGGTGCCATCCTTCCACTGCAGGAGCTCATGGCCACCAACTGCCCTTTTCCCAAGAGGCCTTTCTCGCTTCTGACCCTCACACACCTTTGAGCACAGTCCTTTCCCCATGGTCTATGGAAGCTGCACTAGCTTTCACCCATCCTAATGACTAACCCCACTGCTCCAGCACCAATCTGCCCCTGTATCATCTCCTGCTTCCCCAAACTTCCAGCTGCATGCACACGTAATTAGGCATGATTGCTGGTTTTACCATACCAACAGTAATTCTGAACACAGTGAAGCAAGAGCCAGGTTTCCCAGGTTCTCTCAAACAGAGCAATGCTTACAGAAGATGATGTTGAGGTATAAACGCAGAGTTTTTAACCATTGGTTATGTAATACCACCATTTCCCATCTTTCTAGGTTTTCAGGCCAAGGGTTGCATCATAGCAAGGCAAGCGCCTCTGAGGGCATCTGCTGCAGTTGTTCTCTCTTTGCACTTCTCTCTCTGTCATTAGTAACACCTCTCTATGTTCTTGACTAAACAAATGCACCATAGCTGCTCTGTTGTGCTGTGCAGGTTTGATGTCAGCACCTGGCAGCCCCTACACCTTTGTCCCCATTACCAAACCATCTGTCTAAATACCTCCTCTGTCTGCCAAAAAGTGCTCCAAAAAGCTCCTAGCTCTCCTATTTACGCAGATACAGACTGCGTACCATGCCCCTGAGCCCTTAAGTCCTCTGTAAACTGCTTGTTCAGGTGCAGATTCCCTGCACAGAAATGGGAACCTGAAAGGAATTAAGATTCGCAGTGCTCTGTCCTGAGATACTTTGGGAATTAATTCTCCCATGGAACAATCCAGGATATCTTCAGTGAAGAGCTGTGCACACGTACACAGTATTGCCCCTTACTGCAGGGGTTCAGCTCAAAGAGAGAGTTGTGCTAAATGTGCACCTGCCAGCACCTGAGACACAGCCTCAGTGCCTGAGGATGCAAATGGGAGCAGTGCCCATGGGACCACGCAGTGCAGGGATGTCCCCACACACACCCAGGGTGGGAGACAAACCGAGGCAATGTCATTTCTGTAATGCTTGCCTACAGGATCTCCTGCCTGGACAAACCAACATCAAGCCCAGATGCAAACGTTAATTTGCTCTGTAAGTGTGCTCACTGCAGCAGGCCAACAAGTATCTGCTGAAAAGATTTTCTGTCAGAGCAATTTCCCCAGAGAAACACCAGTGTCTGCAGATGAAAACTGCCAGAGAAAACGATCGATTTTGCTAGCGCTTTTACAATGAAAAAACTCAATGAGCTCTTTGATTTTAAGTCAGTTTGGTCTGAACATGTTGGGCTCGAATCAAAAAAATCTCAAACAATGCAATAAAGCCCTGCTTTGCAGTTTCCTATCAGTGGGAAATTTCCGGAGCAGGGAAGGGTGTGAATGCAGCCCTGGAGCACACTCACACCCCAGGACAGGTTCCCTGGGGGCTGCTGCTTCTCACCACACAGGGGATGTTCCCCATCCCATGCTCAGCATTTCCCATGCAGGAGGCTGCGTGCCCCACTATTTGCAGGACCTCAAAACACTGCAAATTCACAGCCTGCAGTGTCTGTAAGAGAAACACCACTCCTGCTGTAAGCTATACCAGGGTGATGGAGATCAGTTTGTCATCTGGCTGTCAATGCCCATCGTGCTCAGGATTTAAGCTCTGTGAGTGATTTATTTACACGTGATTAGACAGGATGACCAGCAGCAGCTCTTCTCATCGCACATCAGTTTCCCTGAAGGTTGGAATATTCTTTCTCGTTTAAAATAAATCAAGCAACTCCTAGACATTTTGATACATGCTTCCATTTTGGACTGCAATGGATCCAAATGCAAAAATGTCACCTTATGGTGCAAAACATCACTCTAACCCCCTAAATGAGGAAGAAGCTAGAACTTGAGGCCTGGCAAAGCACTATTCCTACAGCAAACACTAAGCCCAACAGACTCCCTTACAGCTCAGAGCAGCACTAAGTGCATTAAAGCTCATTGCAGCCGATTTGTGGGTAAGAAGCATTGGCACAAGAGCTTCCATCAACCCTTAGCTGTGTCACAGCAGTGTGAGGGACCTCTCTGCTCAGGTCACAGGGACAGAGGAGCTCAGGCAATGACCAGAACCAAGCCCAGCCCCATCAGCTTCATCGCAGGACAATATGCTGCTGACCACTGGCTGCAAACTTCAGGACAGGAGAACATCAAAAGAAGAAATGTCAGTCAGGGTGACATGGAGCATAAGAGCCACATCCACACGAACATCCTTCCCTTCTGCACTCTTCCTCTAAGTTCTCTAGCTGCTACAAGTTGTCAGCGGTAGGCAGTCAGACAATTACATCAGGACCCAGACACAGAGCACTGCTGCACTCCGTATGTGAGACCATGAGGGTTCCAAGGCCATCGCTGTGCTGGGGACACCCTCCTGAGCCTCCCACTGCCCTCAAGAACAGCCAGTTGCTCTCTGTGGCACAAAATCCCTGCAGGCAGAAACCCTTCCATTCCCACAGACAAAGAATGTGGGCTTTCCATGAGGTGACTCACAGGATCATGGCTGTGACTCAGGGGACGTCACAGCCCCATGTGCCAGTTCAACACAGGGGTGCAATGCTTGGTCCCAGCCTCAGCTTTTATTTAGCAGCAGATCAGGCCTCCCAACCCCTCCACTGCATAACCTTAGCAGCACAAAGCAATACTCTCCAGCCCAGCAAGATGTGAAGCTATGCCATACAGGAATGCCTTTGGAAGGGATGTCCTGTCCCTCCCACCCATAGGCTCCTTCATTAACCCAAGCTCACATCCATGCAGCCCAGCATCGCTCTGTGCAGCCCCCAGGGTTGTGGTCTGTAGGTCACAGTTTCCCAGCAGTGCTTGTGGGGGCATCAGCATGGCACTGTCCTTCCTGCACACCTGCTGACTCACTGCCATATCCCAGACCTTCTGCATCTCTTTAACCAAATGTGCCTGTTGCCAGAGCCTCCAACAAGGCTGGAAACTAACTGGCACAGCACTGGGTATGAGCACCCACCGCCAGGTGTGACACCAGGCTGCCTGCCCTGAAATGCCCTGGGTGGACAGGAGGAACAAGAATGGTTTTACGGAGACCATAAACGGGGCCTGCAGGAAAGAAAAAAGTTTCACATTTCATATTTCAATCAGCAGAATCACAAGAGCCAGGTCCACTGCAGCCCATCAGGAAAAAAACTACACCCTTCACTACATCTCGCCAAAGAGGAGCCTTCTCCTCCCACAATCCCATGAAACGCAGCCATTTCTCATTTGGTTACTTTAACTCAGGGCCCCAAAGACCCTAAATTAAATGTCAGACTCCAAATGCATTTTTCCAGGCACATGAGAAGATGCAGGAATGGGATCAGCAGGCGGATACTGGTCTCTGTCCTGAGCAGACAGCTCCTGCCCAAACACCCCGAGAAGAAATAAAGACAAGGAAGGAGCAAGGGTGGGCCCTCAGGAGAGCTGCTGGCACACAGTTACACAGCCAGCTGTGCTCTGGCCCCACTCCCACCCGCCCAAGGTGAACAACTTCCACCCTGAGCGTTTTTATCCAACTTTCACAATGGCTTATTATGTTGCGTGGCTGCTGAGCAATGTGTGCCTTTTCTCCTCAGTGCCCTGGGGATCTTTCCCAGACCCAGATTTCCACCCTGAAAACACAAGGCCTTGAAGCCAGGAACAAACTAAAGTCAGTTGAAAGGAAAAATAAAAATTAAAAAAATATATTAGCCGCAGCACCCAGTGATTAGGGAGAACCGGTCACTGTGAACCAATTCTGCAGTCTCCTTGGCTGCTTCCCAACACAAAAGTAACTGTGTCAACGTCTGAATGATTTCAAATCTGTTTAAAACATTCAGCCACGCACGTTTTTAGAGCTACGATTGTGTGTCTCTTACACTGGGCTTCCTTATTTTATTCAAGGGTTTCAAAGCTGGGTGCTTGAAGACAAGGAGAGAAAGAAGCCTAACAAATAAAGTGAGAAGAGCTGTCACAGAATCCTTAGGTGGAAGAACTCCAGGAGAAATTGGAGGGGAGCAGCAGTGAGTAAGGTATGCAGGGGAAGGGAAAAGCAAGCCTGTCTTGGGGCTACCAATACTCTCCCAGCTCAGATTTCTCTTAGCAGCTTCTTATTAATATATTCTGGCTACAGCCATCATGTTTCCTTTCCAGACTTCTGACAAACTAATAAAAAAGGAAGTTAAAATCAACCAGCTCCAGCAAAAAGAAGCAAGTTGTTAGTACGTGTCCAGCTCCCACTGGAAAGTTAATTTGGAAACCAGTAACACTCACCTCTGCAAGGTAAAGGATGCAGAATTTCCGATCTTCTGAACCTACAAAGAAGAGAAATCAGAATCAAAATTAAGCTACAACTGCATTTCTGTGAGCAGAGACACTGCAGAGGAATTGGCTAAGAGACAACTTTTAATGAATATTTATTGTTGTCATCCCACAGTACCAGGCTGCGCTCTGGGAGTGATGTATGCTGCATCTGCAGGACCACGAGCCACGCGGGCTGCACTTGCATGGTTTTCTTGCATGGGCTTATTGCACTACCACAGATCCTCCCATGAGTCCTTTTGGAAAGAGGTTTGATTTGTTCGGAGGCCATACCTGGGCTCTCCTGCCTGATCTCCCACAGCACATGCAGTCCAATTCTTTTGCACATACCTGGGCACCAGGGTCAGATCTCTCTGCACTCTTACAAATGCTTTGCTCCCAGGAGGACTCACGAGAGCAGCTCCCATTTCTATATCCTTGCTCATTCTCAGCTTCTCCCCTTGAGCCATTGTAATGGGCAGCCATAGCTCTGCCTGGTGCTGTTTGTCCCAGTCTCCATCACTGCCAAGAGCTAGGGCCAGTGCTTCTCTAAGCAGATGGAGCCAAACCTCAGGGCATGGGGAAGCAACAGACACAGGGCATAAGGAAGAGCCCAACCTGCTCCATAGGGCTAGGAGCTGCTCCCCAAGCTGCCTCCCCAGGGCTTTGGGAAGGGAGATGGTGCTGGATGCTTCCCTTCAGGAAGGCTGTGCCAAGGTCTGTCCTGGCCTTTGCTCCCCACCAGCAGGACACTAGGCTCTCCAGCCCCAAGAAAAGCTCTAAGCACACATCACCTCACAGAAGGACACAAAGCCAGCACAGGACAGGGCCCCTCAGCTCCAAAGCAGGACATCCCACACCCAGAGCCAGCTGTGCCACCGCAATGCCCCCAGCGTGCCCTGCCAAGCTTTGTCCTTGCTAGCGTGCAGCACTGCCAGGCAGCAGCTCTCACAACCTCTTTAACGATGTTATCTCTGCCGTGAGATCAGGCCTGCAGTCTGGACATGGCTGCAGAACCTATCTGAAGCACGAGCTCTGCTTCATTTCAACATCCTGTGCTGTGCAAGCAATGGGAGCAGGCTCTGGTGGAAGTGCCCCACTGCAGAGGAGCGCAGCTGCAGCACAGCGATCAACACAGGGCCATGACCTACCAAAGGGCCACCTGAGTTCCTGCAAAGGCAACATGAAACCCATGAGCAAGTGCCCAAAGCCATGTGCTGGACAATTCCAGCTTCCCTTTGGGGAGAGCAGGCAAGGCAATGTTGGAGTGTAACAGCCTGGGGTAAACGCCCACTCTTTGAACCTCTGTGCATTCCTTCTGGCTTTCTGCAGTAAGGAATGATCCCCCAAAAGCCCAAAGCCATCAGAATTAAGTTTTCTTCAGAATTCCCCTCTGACTCCCAGCGTCAGCAACCTCACCACCCAGCAGGCTCCAGCCCCATCCCTCTGAGGCCTCACTGTCTCACACAGCCAACCAGCACAGCACCTATTGCACACACAGAGTAGGCAGCCAGCCTGGGCCAAGAGGCTACTTAAATCCCATTTTTCCACAAGAAATTGCCTTTAGCAGGAAAGAAAAATAGGAACTAAGAGACTCCCAGTCTTTCCAGCCCCACTGCTAGGCTGTTATCAATGCCAAACCTTGGTAAGAATCATGTCGTGCCCTGTCTCCTACCCAGCACTATGGCTGTGTCTTTTTTGACAGCTGAGCAGTGTATACTCAGCCACGGTTGGTGAAATGCTGAAAGAAAATAAGCAGGGGAAATAAAAACAACCCTCACTTTGAGATATTTTGGTTTCAGGTTGATGTATCATGACAGGGTAACCTGATCCATTCCTGCCCCATGGCTGGGCAGGTTCAGCACAAGAGGAACACATGGCTTTTTTAGGAGTACATCCCCCTCCCCAGCTAAGCCCTACACACTCATGCTGGCACAAGGGGTGGGTGATACACAGCTGCCAGCACAGCAGTGGCTGTCAGCACCATTCTGCCCACCTGCTCTGTGCAACCAATGGAAAGTACCCTCTGGTTGCAAGGCTTAGGTGGTGCACACCAGGAGTTGGGTCAAAAAGATGGGAGTAGGAAATTGGTCCTGCCCCTTTTTACCATCTCCTTGCACACTAGAGGACACTGACAATAACCAGGGCAAAGACACCCTGCTCCCCCGCCTGCTCAGTGAGGACAGCACTGCATCCAAGACCCAAAGAGAAGTTTGCAGACCAAAGCCCCAAAAATCAGAGTCTGGACCTTTAGATGTTTTAAAGCTGTTTGCTGCAGGACACAGTGCACTGGGATGTAAAAGACAGCAAAGCAGAAGCACCCAGCCTAGGGATGGGCTCACAGGCAGGGTCCTCACTCAGGCTGCTACATGGGATCTCTCCTCCCTGTCTTCAAGCCAGGCACACCCACCCAGGGGCTGAGACCACAGCAAGGCAGCAGCGTTAGCATGGAAATTCCCACCGCATCCAGCGAGGAAGAAACTGGGAACACTGGCCGGTGTGGTGCTCATCAGCCACGCTCAGCTTCTAAAGCAGGAAGACAGAGCATTGTAAAGCAGATTATACTGATTTGCTTTCGCACAGTGCAGTGAGAGGCAGAAACAGGAAACATCACAATGGTCTTCAGCGTACCGGAGATGTCTCAATTGTTATACTCAGCAATACGCCTGTTCCTATTAATGTGCCATTCAGTTATGAGGAGACCAACAGAAAACTCCTGCCAAAAGGGACAGACATCTCTCTGCTTGTTCTACCCAACCCTGAAGCAGCCCTACCCAAACCTGCCTCAAAACTGACTGTGCTGGATTCCTGGTGTACAGGGGGGTCTGGTGTGGCACAGGCAAACATCCACTTTGAGAGGCTCGTTGAGCTACTCCAGATGTGATTCTAGCCAAGTTATTACGGTAACAAGGAAATAAGCAGCAGAAAACAGCTCACAGAACCCAGCAATCAGCTGGAGGTCAGGAGGCACACTCTTACGCCGAGCTGCAAACACACCTCAGTGTGCAGAGCTGCTGCAACATGGGGTGAACACTGGGGAAGACATTTTCTTCCAGGAGAACAAAAGCAGTGCAGCAGCTTTAAGAGCAGCCAGGAACTGCACGTGCACTGGAGCAGATGCTGACCAACAAGCACTACAGTGAGGAACAATTTCTTTTGTTCTTTCCTTGGTAATAAGCAGCGTTGAGAACAAACTCAACAAATCTCAATGAAGCTCAAGGGCTTTTCTAAACAGCTTGAACTCTCTGTGTCCCTTTTTCCCCTCACTGCCCCCACCAAATATGTTAGCAAATGAATATGGGAGTATAAGAGATGGGCAGCCCACTGTGCCATTGCAGATCCCCAGCATGGAGGCTTATGTTTTGGGGCATACAGAGAATCACAGCTCCTCGCCAGAACTATTTGCTCCACTGGGGAAAATCATGGGAAGTGACAAAATGATCCTGAAAACTATTCCTTATGGAAAAGCAGCCAAGCTCTGGATTAATCCCTCTTGATCAGAGCCACAGGACTGCAGAGAGATGTCAGTTCATACATTAAGGTTTGGCCGGAAGAAGCCTCCAGACATCTCTATTCCATGCCCCTGCCCAAAGAACCCAGGTTGCAGTGCTCAGTACTGTGTCCATTGGAATCCTGAACGTCTCCAAGGCTGGAGGTCCTGCACACTTATTGGGCAACCCAGAATTTGACCACTCTGGTTACAGAAAAGCTCCTCTCTCATCCAATCATGGTTTTTCTTGCAGATTCCCCAGCCATACTGCCCGGGCTTGAGGAGGCAGCAGAGCCCCAGCCCTGTGCTGATGGAGTCAGGCAGCTGTACGTAGAGCAAGCCCATGGCCAAACAGCCACTGCACCAAAGTAGGAACATGATGGGATTGGAATGGGGCCAAGAAGTGGCCCCACTATAGGAAATAGGATGTGGCAGAGCAATTTGTTCGTTCCTCTTTTGACCCTAGGTAGTTGAGGTCATTTTTTGTACAGCCTCAGAACTCAAAATAACTTAATTCAAGCCACCCCCTGCCCTAAGAACCTTCAGCTGAATGTGAAAGCTCAACCAAGGCAAAGTGAGCAACATGCAGCCCACAGCCTCCCACCAAAAGCCAGGGTTTGCTCTTTCTTCACCGTGTGTTCATGGGGGAGGGATGCTAGTGAGGGAAGCTGTGGGCGGCTGAAGGAAGAAGCAGTGAAGTAAAGGTCAGTAGGGCTCAGCTCCTCTGAGTTCTCTCAAGGCACTATAGGGGTGAACCTCAAAACTTCACTTCCCTTTGCAGCCCCCACTGCAGTCTGGGTGATAGCAGCAAGAGGAGCAACCCACAGAACAGAACCCTGGGGAGCACATACCAGAATCCCTGAGACAGGCCTGCAATGTGCTACCAGGGCACACCAGGGGACAGAGTTGCTGGGGACTAGGTTAATGCTGGGCCAGGAAGGGAGGTGCTGGACTTACAATCCAGCACAGGGAGGTTGGTAGTGTGCGTTAGCCAGCACTGCTGCAAACTGGAAGGAATGGGATAGTGGTATGCTATCCTGCTGTCTAGAGATCTTTAACCATGAGCCCAGAAAACACCCCAAACACCTCCAACCACTGCAGCAGACACTCACCCTCCTGGAGCTTAACACTCTGCAGGTAGAGAGGGTTCCTCAGTACATTGCAACGCCCAGGCTCGTCCTCCTTGGTGAAGAGCAGCAGGTCAGAGTAGACGAAGAGAGTCACCTGGATAGCAGAAGAGCAGCAAAGGAGAGGTTATAAGGAATCCATCTCCTGGCACTCTGTGCCTTGGAAAAGGCCCTGCATGCCACGGAGATGCACTAGCCAGCAGCAATCCAGGCCCCTGCCCCAAGGGTGCTGCATGCCACAGGGTACCCCCAGCAAGTCCCACACAGGGCCCACTGCTTGGTAGCCACCTCCCAAGGCTCATGCAGTCCCGTGACAGGAGGGGTAAACCTGCCCAACAGTGCAACGTCGCACAAACACACCCCCTCTGCTCTCTCGTGTCACTTCCCATTTATATAAGTTACAAACCAGGGGAGCAGAAGGACAGAATGAGCTGCCAACTAATCTCAGCACATTAGAGAAACTGAAGCCTAAAAGCAAATGTGATTCCCCTCAACATGCTCAGGAAGGACCTCCTCACTGTTTTCACTCTTTGTATGTCCAGTTTTACTACCCTTGAAGGGGAAAAAAAAAACCACTTAGTTTTTACAAAAGCAGAACTCATGAGAGTGTTTGCAGGGAACATACTTGATACCTTTAAACCACTTTGAGAGGTATAAAGCAAATACTGCACTGCATATCTGCCCATCTCTATGCTTGAGCAGTGACTCAAGAGTGCCAGAAGCTGGGAGCTTCTCCAGTGGAATGTGCTCACAGCTCAACAGGCAGATTTTGCTCTGGCTCTTGAGGTCCCTCATTCGATCAGTAGAGGTGATGGTGATTTTTAAAATAAGAACCAGCTGCACTGCAGATCCTTGACCCAGAAGTCCCATGAGATGAGTGACATGAGTCCAGGGCTGAGCTTGTCCTGCTCTGCGGCACAAGCTGGGGGTATACAGCAAGGCTCAAGCTGATGCCAGAAAGCAGCTGCAAGATGCCAGTGGACACAATGGATGCACTGCAAAACACCAACCCATGCTTTGTTCTGGTCACAAGACACAGCACAGGAGCACACAGCTGCTATTAACCACTCCTGGGGACGCCCCCAGACATACCCCCAGCACAAAGGGAAAGATACTTTGCAACACCGAGCAGCAACAAGGAGTGTTTTCTGACCTTTTAGCAACTTACTTGCAAAAGCAGAAAAACGCCCAGCATCCCACAGGCTGGCATCGCTGCAACCAAGTCACACCTTGAAAGGTGACTTTGCTCAGGACAGGGGCTGAGTCACTGTTTATGGGGACGCACAGCCAGCACAGCATGTCCCTGCCCGCCAGCTGACAGGCATGTGTCAGAGGGGACAAGCTGGGCAGCAGTTTATCACATGATGCTGAGACTCACATCAAGGCAGCGCATTCAACTTTTCAACCAAAATCAAGTCCTTGCCACAAGAGTTCTTGCTGTGCAAACTCATTTTTGTGGGATTCTTAATAAGCAGAAAGCTCCCAGCAAGCTTTAATGGGCAATTAAACCAGGGAGCATCTGTTTGTATCACCTGGAAAACCCCTTCCCTTGCTCTCAACACTGTTGTTCCCCCTCTTCATTACCTCTGGCATTATTACTACTAAAACAAGCACAAAGTGCACTATAAACTTTCTCCCCTGCGTTTCTTGCTTCACAAGATTCCCGTTCTGGGACACATCCAGTGCCATTCCAGATCTCTCAGTGTCAAAGAGATATTCAGGGTTTTTGACAAGAGTAGTGAAATAAAGGAAACAGAAGCATGACCAGCAAGTGATAAAAGTGGAAATGGAGGAAAGAAAATGTAGACCTAATGCACATGGAACTTTAAAGGGAAGAAAAAGGGATAGAAGGATTAGCAAGGAAAAAAAACCTGCTTTGAAACCAAATAGACTTAAATGGGGAATCATGGATACAATCACATAAAGAAGCACTTGCAGGCAACGTTGTGCTTTAACGAGAAGATGGGACTGATTGAATTCAGGATGCAGAGAAGATAAAAGCACAGTTGGTATGGGTTAGGTAAGAGCATCTCCATTATATGCTGCTTCCTGGAAGACATCTGATATTAGAGCAGCTCTGCACAACGGGGGGTTTAAAGGGGGTTATAGAGCTTCTGTGAGCCACAGGGGGACAAAGCAAGGGCCAGGACTCAGCAGATCCCTCTCACAGAGCTGGGAGTGGGACCTCCTGAAACTAAGTCAGTGGTGAGCCCCAGGTAGCAGTTGTCAGCTGGTGTGAGAGAGGAGGGCTGCAGAGAGCATCTGGAGCATCTGGTGGGCATCTCAGTGCTGACATGCCTCCAACAGCCCCTACAACAGATCTGGTACCTGCCATGTGAAACCATAAGACTCAAAGAGTGAGAGAGCAAACAAAAAGGAAACAGTGCCTGGATTCATCTGGGAACAACACAGAATCCTCCAGTGCTGCTTCCTGAAGAGCCAGAGTACCACTGTCTGTTTTCCCAGAACTGAGTTTCATACCTCAAAGTGAGACAGTAAACAAATGAGATGATGAAAGGGCTCCTCTGAAGAAAAGGACAAGCATACCTGCGTCATTATTAAAGTTGAAGGCCACACAGCTGTTGTCATACAGACTTTTCAGTGGCTATGAGCAGACTTTACAAAAAATCTGTAAAGGTTGGCACTGGTGTTCATCTGCGTGAGTTCTGCACCATGGCAAACCACAGAGCCCCTTCTGCTCATAGATCTGACTCTACCTACAGAGTACAGTTGGCAAATCATTGCTACTGAAGGAACAGGTACATTTAAAGAGTCTCCTAAAAGAAAACAAGAGAAAATGAAAGCCAAGAGATCAGGTGGAAAGCGATGAGTCGGTATGCTTCCCCAGGATGAGAACAGTATCACAGAGAGATTCTGAGATCACAGAAGGAAGGTCATCACCATGCCTCATCAAGAAAATGGTAACAAAAACATGATGAAAAGGTGTCTGCAAATTAAGCCTTGCAGCCCAGGTACCTCTGCATTCAAGCATAGTAATAGTTACCCCCATCCTGTACACACAGCAAGCCATTGCCATTGGGATTACAGCAGGGAGAAATTGGCATTTGTCACTGCAGCAATGTATCAGCAGAGACACCTCAGGATGGGGCACGCAGACCCTGCCTGCTGAGCCAGGCTGCATTCCAAGACATCCTCCTCTTCCCTTGCTGTGGTTCCATAGCCATGCCCAGCAAAACAGAGGGAGATCTTCTGCAACAAGGTTGTCAGATGCCAAAAGAGAACACAACGATGATCCCCTGCATCACTGGACAGACTGCTGTCTGCAATTGGCTAGAGCAAGTCCAGATATCTTGAAGACACATCTTCTGATCCACACTTTGTGTATGTTCATCAGCATGGGATCTCCTCCTACAGAAATGGGTGCAATCTCAAAGACAAAGCCCAGTTAGAATAGTATGAACTTAATGTGCCCAATTTACTGGGTTGAGTTAAATGGATGAAACTGCCTTTAATTTTTCTCAGATTTTCCAGATCTATACATATCTTCACAATGCTCTTAAGTGCCCACACTCTAGAAAACAGATCTCTCTGCTGGGCTCACCGGACCACAAAGAACACAGCTCCCCACATGCAGAGTGTGAACAGTTGTATTTGCTGCTGCCCTGATCACATGCTTCAAAGTCACAACCTTCTGGGCTGCAGCTTCACAATGGCAGTTATTTACTTGGTTTTTGCAGAGACCATGGGATTAGGAGCCCAGGAACAAAAATAACCAAGCTTCCACAAGCTTAGTATGTTGGCATTTATCAGAGCCACCATCCAACTGGAAAAATGGCCTAAGCTTTGCAGAGGGAGTAGGTGCATGATCACCAGGCATGGTGACTTGGAAACAGGCACAAGCTTCCCAGATCAGAGAATCTTTAGCACCTACAGAGAGATATGGCAAAGCCTTTGGGCCACTGCTTTATACACTGCAGCCCTAACTCTCTAAGCATGCTTTACTGCTCCTGGATTTTGACTTCTGAATGTGTCCATTCTAAATGCATGTTTCCTCTAAGACATCCCAACAGTTTATTAACCCACAATGTGCTTAGGCTCTTCTACCATCTCATGCATTTTTTCTGTTAAGATTATTGGCAAGATACTCAGCAAGGAGTTTACATGCTCAACAAGAAGACACATGACCACACTTGCCAAAAGCAGATCCACGTTGCAGGCTCCAGCTGTCAATCTGGAACCTCACCTTGGTTAACTAGAGTCAAAGGACCCAAAGGGTCACACACCCACACTCAAGCATCAGCATAAGCAGTGGCTCTGCAGATAAGGAAATGATATCACCTGATTCAAAAATGACAGAGATGAGAATATAAAGAGGCAGTAGAAAAGAAAGGACAGAATGAGAGGAACTACTGTGGTGGAGGTAGGAGGTAAGTGCAAGTTTCTGGTTTCTTACCCAAATGAAACTGTCTAAAAACAGATCATGAAACATCTGTGCCAGAGAGTAGGGTTTTTGTTAACCCACTGCGTAGGCCAAACCCAGCCACCCACTGAAACTGGGAGCTCTCAGACCCAGCCAAGGCTCAGTGCCAAGAATTTGTATTCAGCACTTGGGACAGAAGATCCTAGGCAGGCCAGTCCCTGTTCCCCAGGGTTCAAGGGAGTGCTATCCCGACCTACAGACCTGCCAGGATGGCAAAGCAGAGAGCTGAGAAGAGGTTGAGTGTGTTGTACATTGTGAAGGTTCCTCGGGGCATTGAAAAATTGCCTCCAGGTGCAATACAAAAACATCAAAAAGGACAAAGCCTGCATCCAACACCTTGCACGTCGTTGTCTGCGTTGTGCTGGTTCCTCTGGCACTCTGCAGGTTGGAGGGATTTCAGAACACCATAAAAATGGGAATTGCAACAAAGTCTAGACAGGATGTGATTAAGGCCTGAATAAGGATTGCCCCAGTGGTAAGGTCAGAGAAAGGACAGATCCTGGCAAGCCTCCAGAGAGATAGGTTGTGTCCTTCAGGAGATAGGAGAGGGTTTGCTCAGTGACAAGGATGCACTGCCAGACATGGAAACCACCAAGGGGAAAAGATTCTGGTTTATAAAATAAATATGACATAGCATCTCAATTTCTAGCCCCTGCACCCGGGCTTTCCCCTTTTCAGTCACTTGGGCAAAGCAGAATGAGATGCAAAAAGCAGTCCCATAAAGTGTAGAACTCCAATTTGAGAGGCTGCAAGGGAAACACAGTGAGAAATGGAAAGTCACTTGGAGCAAGGGAGAAAGGACTCATGAGAAACAAGACAGCAGAGAAGGGAGGAGTGGGAGTAAGCTCAAGTCCAGCGAAAAGAGAAGTAAGAGTCTTTCTGCACCAGGGAAATTCCACTGTGGCCAGGCCACCTGGGGTCTTGTTGGCCTCAGAAGTTCATCTGCAGCCTGTCAGGACTGAAGCAGACACTCTTACTCCACAGGAGCACACCAATTCCTCAAAGCTCTGCAAAGCTCTGCAGTGAAGCCGTGACACACTGCAGACAGGAGGCAGCCATTCCCCCAGAAACATGGCTGATGTCCTGGTGTTGCTTCCTGGAAATACCAGGCTCAGCACCACACTTGAGTTCACACTGAGGGAAAGGCTCCTACCACCCAAAGCAGTCTGCCACATGCTTTCCATTCACTGCTTCTGTTTATTTCACTGTGCTTAGTCACAGCCTCTTTCCTTGTCCCTCTGCCAGGCATGTAGAGTTATAACAGCCTCAAGGCACCATCATTCTCAGAGGCTGTCTAGTGCTCCTAGCCACTGTACAGCATCCTGCCCTTCCCTGGCAGCAGCTCCAACTGGGAAATCCTCTTCCCAACTGCACTCATCCTCCTCAGGGCATCACTAACAAACAGAAAACTCTTTCCCTGAGGCATCCTCCTAACCCTCTCCATAGCTGGGTCTCCAAAATAGCTAATGTTGCCATTGGGCAACAGAGCAGCACACCTCCTCCAAACATGACCATTCTGAGACTCTGCTTCATCTGCCTTCAAACATCCTTGTACATATAAACATGCTTCACCCAGACTAAAAATGGCACTAGTTACTCAGACATAGTTTACATTTGGCTGCTTTTACAGACCTCTGAGGCAGACCTGAAAATAAGAAACACAAACCCACATAGGAGGAGTATCCTGAACACAGGCTGGCCACCATATTTTCAACCATCATAGCACCATTGTGCTACACAGCCATGTGTTTTATTTGTTTTCATTCATGCACGCACCCTGAAGACCCTGATGAGCAAAGAGCAGCAAGACAGGCAGGGGAAGAGTTTTATCTACAAATCGGTGACAAGTTTCCTGGTGAGTGATGCAATTTTTCATGTACTCAAGCAGAAAAAAAGAATTAAGACAAAATAAGGGATGAATTACACGCCAAAGAGAGCGAAGAAAGCCCTTCAGCACAGTCTTGAACAGCTTTCTACAAGCCAGCAACATGATATGTTTCAGGGATTCTGCTGTCAGCCACCCAGAAAACATTACACAGAAACTAAATTACTCAAATGAAAGTTCCTCTGTGGCTCTGTGAAGATGACACGTTGTTCAGTCCAACTAAATTCAAAACACATGTGTTCTGTACAGTAGTGAGATTCACTGACAATGCCCCAAAAGGCACTGTCACTGCTCAGCACTGTTAAGCAATGCTCAAGTGAGCAGTTCTGGCTGCCCAATGCACTGTGCCATTCGCTGAGATACTTCCTCCGTCCCTAATCCCATAGTTTAGACCTCACTGTTGGATACAAGCAAAGCCAACAGAAATGCACACAACATTACAAACTCTGCTGGTCTGGCTTTTGAAAGCTGTCACATACATGGGTTCAGCATGTCACCAAAGCTTAGCTGCTTCCCAAAATTTTTCATATCCCTACTAATATAGAATCATAGAATCATTTGAGTTGAAAGAGACCTTTAAAAGTCCTCTAGATCAACTCCCTGCACTACAGAAACAAAGTTGAAATAACACAGTGGAGAGGATTTTGGACAGGACCTTTAGGAGCTTCTAAAACTAAAACTAAACTTCTAAAAAAGCCCCATAATGCTAAATAGCTATGGCTAATTTTCTACACTGGCACAAAATATTCCTAATTTCCCTCTTTCTGGATCTGCCAGAGGATTTGTCGTGTGCATTTTCTCCTTCACGAGCATAAAGAAAAAGTTGATTTCCAGCAAAATAAATCAATAAAAATAATATAAAGCACTGACATTTAGTTTATCCCAGCACAATTCTTTCCAACTACAAATTCTTTCCAACTATCATATTAATAAAAGTTCAGCAAAGTAGTGCATTCCCCTTCTCAATCTACTATATGAGTCTGCAGAAAAGCATATTTAGAAAGCCCAGGCAGCACTGAAGTAGGCTTACCTGGATAGTCCTGCTTCTGCTCTCGTGAAGAAGCAGCTCCTCCGACAGAAGCAGAGTCCGGGCTGGGTTACAAAGATCTAAGGGCTACATTTGAAATGGAAAGAAAGAAAAAAAAGAAACAGTCAAACCTTCCACTGGAAGTGTGGTTTGCCAGAAAAACTTTCCGCCCACCAAACCCACTTTGTCTTCACTTTAAGCTGTAACTCATCCAGGGAGAAGTCACCCTACGCTGCACTCACACAAGTCTGCAGTCCAGCTATGCAACAAAAAAGAAAACCTTACATTTAACATCTATGTCAGGCTCATCTATAAAAAGACAGTAATCAGCTGCTTGCTTCTTGGTACCTTAACTGCTCTGCACCACGCGGGTTACGGGTGCTGTGCAGCAGGAAGCACAACCACAACTGCAGCCCGTTAGGTTCCCACGTCCCTTGGACAGAATATTTGCTATATGGTTCTGTGGATTACTTTCACAGCAAGTATAAGCAAATTTAAGGTTCTGTCCTTCCTCATGTCACATTCTACCCTCCAGTCAGCAATTCCAGTGTGCCCCATTTAACAGCAGAGAATAACGAGAGCATGTTGGCTGTTGTGGATGCTGCCCAGCCCTCAGACATCCCACTGAGCAGCACAGCCAGCAGGCAGGGTACAGGTACACAGCACAGGGGCTGTGCAGTATGAGACAGCAAAGCAGGAGAACTAGTTCCTGAAGTGGCAGAAACAGCCCAGGTTCAGTCCAAGACACAAATTTTGCAAAGGAGAGGAGCCCAGAGTGCTAATTGTGTTCCTGCTGATGAACAAATGGTGCACATGGCCATGGGCAACAAATGTGCAGCTCCCTGGCCTAGGCCAAAGTAGCAGAAAACACAGATCGCAGGTTTCAGCATACAGGAAACGGTCTGAGCTGCTAACAGGAGGGCTGATAGCTTCCCACAGCTTTAGAGATGCTGTATCCATCAGTAATGCACTCATTACAGAGTCACAACAGACCTGCTGGGGTTCTGCCCCAATGAAGGACAAAAATGGAAGACATCAAATTAAGGTGTAATATTAAGAAAATCATTTGTGTAACTGGGGAGTGAGAATATGCTCTGTCAAGGCACTCCTCTCTGCATCCTTGTCAAGAATTCTAGTGCGGGCCACTAAGTGGATTATAAAACCTTTGTCCACACACTAATTAACAGCATGAAGAACTCATAGTGATCTGCAATTATAAAAAAGCTGCTTGCCAAAGCCTGGAAACTGGGATATCTTCCCCTGATTCAAACAAGCACCTGAGAATCAGACTGGAAAGCTGAAAAGGGAAAATCCAACACTTGGGCAGAACACAACTCCCCTAAACAAAGCACCTGGAATTGAGTTCAGCCAGCCTCGGAGAAGAAAACTCAGGCTGACCTCACACACTGAGAAAGGCAGCCAGCTGGCATGGCAGCAAGGACCAGTGAGATGGCAGCAAGCTCTGTGCTGTGCATCAGATCCATATTACTTCACCTGCAGCCACGCTTACCTGCACGAAGACGGGGAACACCAGCACTTTGGGAGCCAGTGTCACGTATGTGCCATAGCTGGAGTGTGGGATGTGTGGTCTCACTATAGTGCAGTTCTGGTAGTTCCCATAGCTCTTCATTGTCTGCACAGTCTTCATCAGCCTGGATTTTCTCCCAGACCCTGTGTGTGATTTTCCTTTGCATCCATTTCCTGAACCGAGAGAGGAAGCAGCAATACAGAGAGAATTAGGAGCGTTCCTGCAGAGCTTCTGCACACTGCCAGCTCAGCTCCTGCCCTCACAGGCTGGAGGAGGGCACAAAGAGCCCAAGAGGAATAGCTGGAGCCTGGAGCTGCAGGAACATTCATCACTCTGCTATCAAGGTCTCTTGGGGACTCATGAAATAACAGCACTGACTTCATTTCTCCTAATGCAAAATGAGATGTCCCTTGTGCTTCTGCACAATTAAGAGCTATTCTCTTGCTGGGCCCAGGACTTCAACAGCAAGAGCAGCAAGACAGACAGATAAAACCCCAAATTCACAGCCGCCCCCACTGCAGGCCAGCATGCCTTCCTGTGTTTGGGTGTGCACAGTGTTCTGCACAATTTATGAGTACAGCACAGTACTTCAGAGAAAGAGATGTGGTGTGATTACACACGCCTCTCTTTGCAGTACTGAGTGTACAAAACAAGAAACACAGAACCCCAAGCACCTTAATAGCTTTTTCTCAAATCACACAAGTACCAAGGAGGATTCCTCTCCCATCAGGAAACTGCTGCCCACACCACCAAACCATGGCCAATCCCTTTCCAGGTGGGGGAAAACCATCCATGACTAATTCAGGGTGAAAGTAAAACACTGGAAATTTAAACCCTGGGACATTTTTACCCACAAAGCTCCTGCCTGTACTGAATTGAGGGCATGGGAGTTTGCAAAGTGCAGAAATGTAATATCATAGGGAGCAGCTGATGCTTTTAATCACAGCTTTCAGAAGGCATTTAGATTGGACAACAGAACAGAAGAGATAAACAACACTCATGAGCATGGGATCTACCCATCTCCTCCCAAATTGCCTCCAGGGAGTGATGGTTACTCAGCCATAGAGGGGGTTTACAAAGGATGACCTCACTAGGCATGAGGCTGGCATATCATCCTCCACAGTTCTCAGCATCACATTTTGGTGCTGGAGGAAGTGTGAGCAGCCTGACTGGCTTTTCACTCTGTCCCACTCCACTGCAAAGATCTATTATCTCCATTCAAAGGAGGGATTACACGGAAGCTGTGTGACACAGCCTCAGCTGGGCAAGCACAGCTTCCACCTCCCAGCAAGCCAATGGAAGCTCCCACAGCCACCCCGTGCACACCAGTCTGCACTGCTCAAAGCCAGCTGGCACTGGGTGGTATGTCACACTGGTCCCAGAATCTCTAACATAAATAATAGTTCCCTGATTAAAAGTATCATGGATTATCCTTGATCCCTGCTGGCTGCTGCTTGGGTGAGTCCTTTCTACCCCTACTGCTGGGTATTTGTTGCCATTTGAGTTTCTAAGCCCTCTGCTCACAACCTTTGAATATATCCAGAAAGCTTCCACCATGTTTTGTCACCTAGCTATCTTAAAGCTCAAAGGAAAAACTCCAATGGAAACTGGATGTCTCTCTCTAATCAAATATCCATGCTCCAATGAAACATTGCAGCATCTTCTCCCTCCTAAAGCTGACCAACCAAAGCTGCCGAGATCCAGCAGGCAGACCAGGAGAAAAGTGCAGCATCAGCCCAGGATTCTCACCCACAGCAATGCCTCAGGGCCATGCTAGAGGGATGCCTCAGTTCAGCTATCATGAGCATCCCTCCTCCAGCCTCATGTCCTTCTGTTCCTACCATAGCAGCTTTCAGTGAGGTGCTTTCTGCCTTTGCACCACAACAAAAACCCATAACTTCCTGAGCAGAATGGGCCAAAACACTTCTGAACATGGAGCAGAGCAGATAGGGTCTGATCCAAAGCAAACACATGAACCTACCCAACATTACATGTTCCATGAAGTATTAGGAAGCAGCATATTTACTTTCAGATAAATGCCAGCAAAGCCAGACCATACTCTGCCCGCAACTTGGCCCCACTGTTTGCTCTCATTGCCTGCATTTGGGGTGGGGGGAGGAGGTTCTCATGACCCAGAGTGTTGTTTCTACCTCTAAGAGCAATAATTCCGGTATTTTCTCTTTCCCCTTTCTCGTGGTTGTGCTGCCAGATAAAAATCAAAGCATGAGAGACAGTCTAACAAAGGACATATACAATCTGTCTGGGCCATGCAGAGTTTGACTTTCCTCTTATCCCTAAATCACCTTCTTTCATTTGAGGCATTCATCACCTGCATAAGCCCCATCTTCTGCATGCTGGCACAGAAGCATCAGCTCCTATCGTTACTGTCTACCTCCGTACTGCTCAGGTTAACCACTGCATTCCTCTCTCTGAAGACTTATCTTTAAATAATCTGAAAATAATCATTAAAAATTACACAGGGAAGAAACTCGAGTCTTTAAAATTACTACCCTTCTGTAAGAACAAGTCTCTGCAGCTCAGCTCAGCTGGGAAGAGCTGTAGTTATCCCAGCACAGAACAGTCTCTGCAGCTCAAGTGCAGAAAATTCATCCATCTGCAGAGCTGCAGGGCTGGGGCCATGCAGCTACCAAGGCTCCAACCCTACACAGTTCCCTCACATGCTCACCACGGCTTTGCCAGCCTCACATTTCACCACCCCTGAGCACTGCCCAACCTTTACAGGCTGGCAGAATGTTTTCTACCTGGAAATTGCACTGATGGCTGTTCCTGCACCAGGGAGGGACAGCTGAGTGAGAGACTCCTTCCTGAGAAACCACGGAGAGGAGCTCAGCTCTGCTAGGACACACAGCTAACCCCCGGGGCATCTTAACAGATCAGAGCACAGACACTGACTCCCACAGCTCCCAAATCAAGGAGCAAACCAGAGGTGTTTCCGCCTGGACCTGAGCGTGCTGAGAATTGCCATTTCTTTAATAAGGTCAACAACACACAGTGAACAGCCTGGCACTAAATCCAGGCTCCTGGGTTGTTTCTGCCCCTGGTTTCTCATGCTGAGTGGCAGTCATTTGTTGATACCTGTCTCAGCAAGACCTTGTGTTAGCCTCTGCTCCTCGTCCTGTAGCCTGGATTCATGCAGCTACCCCCAAACCTGCTCTTCCTGCAAGTCCACATGTACCCAGTTTTCCAGGGAGACACTTTCATTGCAGAAAGTGTTAACGCTTCCAAGGATTTTCAAGGAAAGCTGGTCTAGAGACCATCAGAAACCCAGGAAATTAACATTTCCCAAATCTTGCACTTCAACCTGCACTGCTCTTTGCATAAACTCAGCTCATGGCCACCCTCACTTACTATTAATAAAATGAACTGCAAAGCAGGGGGAAACAATGTTAGCACCCCCAGTTGTTGCATCCTGCCCGAGAAAGGAAACACATCACAGACAGACCCACAAACATGTGGGGATCTGCCACATCAAGATTATTTAGCACTTTCACACTTCATGCTTTTCTCATCCCCAGTGGAAAGTTCCTGTCACCAGCTATCCTGTGAGCTCCCAGAGACCTTGCCATGAGGCAATGGCACCAGCAGCTGTGCTTTCCTCTGGGCATGGTGGCAGGATTCTTGCTTTTACGTTTGATCCAGAAAGGGGGAAGGTGACACTGCCAAGAGCCACTGTCCTCAGAATGTGATGGACTTGTTGTAGAGCTAGGAGCAAGGATTGCTGGTGCTGGATAGACTGGGTCTGGCTCTGTCAGGTGCTCTGAGCAATGTTTTCATCATATCAGCAACTTACCCTCAGTCGCATTGTTCTCCTGGTACACAGGCCTCAGCAGCTGCAAGACAGAATCCAGAAAGGAACAGCCACCTGAGGCAGACTTCAGGGCAGATTTCACAAAAACAAACAGTAAATTTCAGCGTGCCAAACTCAAAGCCAGAGGTGAAAATTATCTTTGCTCTATTACTATCAGAACATGAGAGAAGTGGTTTGTGCTGCGACCTGCACAGTGGAAACACTCTCCAATCTCCCATCCTGTGCATGAGCCCTGGGAGGAGGCAGCAGCTCACTCACCACAGCTCTGCAACCTTAGCAGCAAATGCTTTAGAAATAGAAAGAAAGGTCACCCAGGGACACAGCTCCAGCTTAGAAACACAGCATGTGCTCTGGCAAACATTTAGAGATAATGCCTGAGAAATCAGAAGCTTGAGTCAAGTCAGAAAGCAGCAAGTACAGCCATCATCTCATGCAGTAACATAAGCGTGGGGATGGAGGCAGCCCTACCTGGCTCCCTGGGTTCAGAGGTGCAAGGATGATGTAGTTCTGGTCAGCAGCAGAGGGCACATGGGACAGAGGGGGCATGGTGTTCTGGCCCCGCTTGCCAATCTCCGTGTACCTCTCCCAGCTGTTCAGCATTAACCCATCACTCCCATCATACAGGACATGGCAGCTCCGTCGCTGCTCAGGCCGCAGGGGCACAGTGCTGTTTTTCTCCCGCTTGTTTGGAGGGGACTGCAGGTCATAGGTAGACTTGCAGGATGAACGGCGGATCATGCCATCGGGTCCAGACTTGACCTGTGGGACAAGCCTCCAGACCAGCAGGATGATCTCTGTGGGACAGTTCCTGGAAGAGATGGGGCAATTCAGAGCAAGAGCAGTGGGCACTGAGGCATTCGGACAACCACCAGCCCTTCCTTCCCAGTCTCTGCATCCTTTCCTTTTCCCCCTCCAAAGATTCCTTTTCCAGCTTCCTGCATTCCCCAAACCCTTCGCTTTCTGCAGCCACCCAAAGTTCCCGCTGTCATGTCCTGGGTTCCATCAGGCTGTTCCCCCCATATCACCACACTGATGCTTTGGGTGAACGCTCACCGGATTTCGTGTGCCAGCTCCACACACTTCCAGTGCTCCACGGGCCGCTCATTCAGCTGCAGCACTGTGTCAAGCTGCTGCAAACCAGCCTTTTCTGCAGGGCCACCTATGGAGAGAAGGAATGGGTGACTGTCAGTCATCTGCTGGACACAGAGCTGAGAATACCAGTGCTGAGGGGACACCCATATAGCACAGCTTCACAGCTTGTACCACTCCCTCATCCAAGACTCAACTGTTTCTCTTAACAGAGCTAAGGTTCTTCTTTACTTTAAGGACAGTATACTTTTGAGACTTGAATGTATCACTGAGGAACTGATTGAAATCTGTTAAGTCCAATTTCACAGAGTCTGAGATGGATCCCTGCTTCCAGTCTGCGGTTCAAACACACTGCTCCTCCCAGAGAGGACATTGCCAGTAGCTCAACATGGGAAGCCAGGGAGATTTCCTGGTGTGCAGTGGGATAACAGAGATGCTGAATCCATCCTGGAGGCTCATACTAAGAGGATCCACTCAAGCAATTAAGGCCCTCTGCAATTCTGCTCCCTCCTGTGCCAGTCTGGCTTCATGTGTACTTTCCATAGGTCTCCCAACCAGCCAGATAGTTCTCACATTGGAAAGAAAACAAAATCTCTGCATATCACTGCAACACAACACCAAAATAACAACACAGCAGCCTCTGTCCTCTTAAGATGCAAAAGAGAGTTCATCAGGAGGGATAAAATTGAGGTGATCTCTTACCAGAGTCCACTGCCTGCACACGGACCGGGGAGTCACAGCAGATCGTGAAGCCAAACCCATCACTTCCTCTAGGGATTGTGATCTGAAAAGAGACAGCAGGGTCACCCTTTACAATAGAAAAGCACCCTTGCATGTGGTCAGTGAGCATCCCTTGTTTTATTCACATGCTACCCCACAGCCTTCAGAAATGCAGGTACACAGCATTTCTAAAAGCAGCTGCAGAGCCCAGAGGAACTGTCCCAGTGAAAACTGTTACTCTGTGAGCCTTACTGACAATGGGTCTCTCCTGTTCTGCAGCCAAGAGGATGAAAAAGGCACTGAAAAACTATGTGAAGTCAAGCCCAAGACCAGCAGAGATTAATGATGCAAGGTGAACATTTACTGAGCACATGTAAGTCCTTCTTCATGACTCCTGCGAGCATAAGGAAAAGTCTATCAAGACACTAGAAAGGAAAACCGAGCAACTTGGCTCTGATGCTTACTTCTAGTACAGCTTCTCCAAGCAAGCCACTTAAACATTTCCTCCCTAGTGGGGCAATACACAAATAGCAGCACTCCTCTGCTCCAGGGGAAGCCGTGAGAACCAGCACACTCAGCCTGCCAGGCACCAGCTGGGGCGGGCTCTGTGCATCACCCTGTTAGCTGAGGTATGTTTCTCCTGAGGAGCTTGAAAAGGATGGATGCTGTGTTGATCTAGGCCCATTTCTCCTCCTGATTCTAGAAACAATTAGATTATTAATAAAATTGTATTTATTTTTTTATTGGTGGCTTCCAGCAGCAGCTCAGCATGACAGTTCCTGCAAATACCTGATTATCCTCAAGACACTTGTCAGAAATCCTGTTTTACTGACAGAGAAAATAAAAAAAACCTGACATGTGTGACCTGAGCTATTTTGAGAACAAATAGAGAGGAGAATCCAGCTGAAGCAGCCAAGAACTGCTTCCACACTCCTTTACAGCATGAGGGCAAACCCAGTGAGCTTTCCTTTCTTTGCTCTCTGTCCCTGTTTGATTGCTCTCCAAAAAAAAAAAAGAAAAAAGTTTCAAAAGAAGAAGTGTCTTTCTCTGGCAGGATCAAGTACATAGGTCCAGTCCTAACACACTGAATATATTTTTGTCTCTGGAGGTTATTGTATTCTCAAATAGGGAACAAGACTGCTTGTGGCTTTGCACCTTCAAACCAGCCTCGCACTCTAAAAACAACACCTGGGGACCTGAGCTCTGCAGGACATCACCAGCCCTGACAGCCCAGCATTGCCCCCCACAGTCACCTCCCAGTCCAAAACTTTCCCCACACCAAGAGGGCTCTCCCACTGCTTCTACTCTAGCTCATGGCTCTTGTCTACCACCTTCCCTATGCCATCAGCAGTGCTTCCCACTGCCAATGCTTGTTTTCTTCAGCTCCCACCACTGTGAGATTGCCACTCAGCAAAGAACTGATGTAAGCTAGAAGATGCATGATGATGGTACAAGGCTCCAGTCCACAGCAGGCACAGGTTCACTGTGTTGGAAGGTGCAGCAGAAATTGCCAAAATAGAGAATTGAGGAGATGTAGGACAAGTCCCCGTTGCCTCTGATTTGCACAGCAGAGGACCATGCCTGCATGAGACAGTCACTATAGCCCTGACAAGCAGCAGGCATTTTTAATTAAGCTAATTCTCCCTGCAACCTCCACTGCAGCTATACAATATGAACACAGCAGCACAAAAAAATATGCTAACCACGAGTTGGGAGCCCCAGTGGAAAAACTATTCCAAAGTGCAGGAGACCAAGATCCACACCAGCGAAACTCCCCACCAGAGCTGCACACTGAGAGCATCTGAGAGCCTGTGCTGGCTTGTGCACAACACTGCAAGCTGACTTGGTCAACTTTGGTTGTGGCCAGCTTCAAGTAACACTTCATTCTCATACACATTTCTGTTAAAACAACTTTAGAAGAGATTGCAGCCACCTGGCAGAGAGCTGACCCTGCAGTTATGTACAGTAAACAGAAACATCCTTCAGCTGAGCAGTTCTACAGCCAGCTGCTAAGCTGCACCCTAAGTTATACAGTAAGAACCCTCCTTCCTCCATCCCCACTTACACACTGCAGCGATGCGCAGCAAGAGGTCAGACACCCACCTGAAGGCACTTTCCTTCTATTTCTAATACCACCACTTACAAACGACAGCACATCAGCAGCACACTCACAGCCTGACAAGGGGGAGAAAAGCCCACGGACACTCAGACACACGGAGACCCCCGGGGGGGCACAGACCTGCCGGTATCTCCGCTCCGAGCACACCTTGCAGAGTCCATTGAAGCGGTTCATGGCTGCAGCCCCCAACCTCGCCGTCAGCCCATGAAAACGCAGCGTCCCAAAGCAGCCGTGCTCCCGATCTCCTCGTCTTGCACCAGTGAGAAACAAACCCCAGTCAAACTGGCATGACCGCCCATGGGAACCCAGCTCCAGAGAAGAATGGCAGGAAGCCACCTTTCACCTTCCCGGCCCCTGTCTGCGCTGTATGCCGCTTTACGATAAGCCAGAGGGCTTCCTGAAAACCCCAAGTGACAAGGAAGAGAGAGAGTTTTATATTAAAATTCCTGTCAACTCTTTAGTATTCCCTGGTCCCTGCTCTGTTGATGTGGCTTTTGTTCCCGTGGCATTCTTCAGCCGCACGGAGCACTTTGTTATTGCGACGTTCTCACAAACACTTGGAGGATGTCTGAGCAGCATTTCACAGGCACCGACCGCGCGAGCCCGACTTCATTAAAGGGATGCCTTGCACTGCTTACACTTGGGAAGGACAACAGAGAGTGGCTTTCTTTTTAATTAAAAAAAAAAGTTTGTTTTTGGAAGTGCAGACCCAAAGGAAAAAAAAATCACATCCCCATGCTTTGCACTCATGGAGTGGGATCAGAGGTCAGCTGAATTGTACCCGTGGTGCAGTCTCAAAATTAAAGACAAACTCTCAGCCCAGCCAGCAGCAGGGCAGCACTGAGCAGCTCTGCACTATGCAGCAAGGCTTATTGGAGAAAGCTCCTAACACAGAGATGGAAAGGAGAAGCTTGAGGAGGCATGGGGCCCCTCTGCAGGGCAAGGGATGGCCATAGAGGAAGGAGAGGGGCTCCGGTGCTCCCCATAAGCCAGCACCTTGCAAGGCCATTGGAGCTGCTCCAACAGGCACAGCAGCACTGCTAGGTCTGCATAGGGAGATCCACCTTCTCCCAGCCACCATCTTTCCAGTCAGCAGCACCACTGGGGAGGAAGGGAGGAGAGGGGCGCTGGCTTTGTTTGTCCTGCTCAGTCCTATGCTTTAAAACAAATAACTGAAAATGCAGCTGAGGGAAGCAGCAAAGCGGAATTCAGCACAGATAAATCACAGGGACGGCCGAGCCCTATTTCCGATGCAGGCCATGTGTTTGCATTCCCATTTCCCATCCTTGCTTCTCCTATAAATCACTGAGGCTCCACCAAGAGCCTTTCCCTTCCCAGAGCAAACGGCCCCAGGAGGAGGGGAGCAGACGCACCCGTGCATGGCGACGTAGAGCCGGCCAGGGACGGATGCTGCACTGCAGGCAGGCAGCCAACTCCAGCCCATTGCTCCTTGTTCCCATCACTCCCACTCAACAGCAGGTACTTGGTCTCTGTGGTACTGTCCTGAACAAACAGGAGGTCCCTATTCAGCAACAGAGAGCAAATGTGGGACTACTACACCCATTGCCTCCTTGGGTTGGGAACATCAATTGCTTGTAAAGCTATAGTGTCAATAGGGAAACTGACACAACTCCCATCTCAGCATCATCCTCACTAAAACTCTGTCCCTCCTGCTTATCTAAACCCCTGCATGCAGGCTGTGATGCCTTCAGCCCATGCATTGCTGGCAGGACAGAGCCCAGCTGTACCCACCTTCAGCTGCCTCATGTTCGCAATGTCCCGGCCCTCACACGCTGCACTCTGATCTCCCAGTATCGGTTCTTTAGGAAGAAAAAAAAAAAAAAAAGCACATCAATCCAACAGCACACAGCTCCTGACAGCCACTCTCCCTCCCAACCACATCCACACACCATGAATAAAATCATTATGTGCTAGGGGACACCACCTCTTGGCTAGGGCTGCCCCACATGATGGCAGCAGCGAGGGGGGCTGCACATCTAGGGTGGGCATTGCTCCCTCACTCTGCTATCCCCAGCACATACTCCTCCACACACCTCAGCACTGTGGCAAACAAAGGCAGGAGAGAAAACCCATCACAGCCCTGGAGTACCAGAGCCCAGTCACAGCATCAGCCCAAAGGAGAGAGGCAGCTGCAAAGCTGGGGGCCCACAGAAAGTCCAAAGCAAAGCATGAGTAAAGGGCAAAGGGAAGAGTTCAGTGCCAATGCAGAGACTGCCAAACTGCCCAGCACACTGATCCCACTGACCATTACAGCTAACATGAAGACACAGACTCCATGGGGCAGGTGGCTGCTCCACACCACAGCAGGGATAGACATGAGTTAAGGACCCCTCCCACACCATGCCAACCCTCCCAGGCTGTTCTGGAGGGTGACACACCTCTGCTCTTCTTCAGCCGCCGCACAGCCACCTTCAAGTGCTTGGTCCTGCCCAGATCCTCCCCAAGGAGGTAGTACCAGCCACTGATCTCCTGGGTGGGAAAAAAGAAGCTCTCAGTATTGAGGCAGGTACTCCATCCCATTTAACTCAGTCTGGTCGCCCAAAGCTCCAGGGGTCCTGCTACAAAGAACTGCCCTGGCCAGAGCACATAGGCTGTCCTGGAGCACTTCTCGTAAGAGACATGGAACCAGGTAAAACTACCCACACCATGCTCACAGAGCAAGGTGACCACATCAACCTTCAGCAGTGCTGGGCACTCTGCATCAGAGCTCCCTCTGCCCCATCCCACCCCCATGGAACATTTCATCCAGGAGCCACCATCTTCAATTATTCTCTGGACAATCAGCAGAAGCCAGGAAAAAAAAAAAAAAAAAAAAGCATCCCATCCCAATCCCAGGAATCAGGTAAGGATTGCAGGAACCATCAAGACCAGAGAAGGTGGGGTTCATTAAAAAAAAACTTATGCTTTAAATCCACAATGAGGAAACTGCAGAGCAGGGGGCAGCACCAGTAGGCCCAGGAGGCTGGGCTAGCCCTTCCCAAACAAAAATGGGGTCCCAGAAGGACCATGAATTCCCCATATCCATCCCCATCTTTCCATCCCTGTGAGAGTAATGTGCCTTTGGGCTGCATGCATGGATGATCCCTGCAGTGAAAACTTGTGAAGCTCATGACCAAAGTCTGACATCTTCGAGTCAGTAAGTATGACCAGAGCAGAGGCTGTTCCTGGAGGCAGCTGCAGTTCAGAGCTGCTCTGATTACCTTCATTGCTATTAAGATAAAAAAACCACTGCATATAATTTGTCCATGCTACCTCTTACTTTTACTACATGTAATTCAAACAAACAGCTCCTTTTAACCTCTTGCTAGGCAGCAAATGTCCAGACCTCAGATGATTTGTGAACACTCCTTAAAGCCCTTCCAGCCTGTCTGATGTGGCAGCACCTGGTCTGGGCTGTCCAGGGACAAAATCCCTAACTGCCAATGGCTAGGACGGAAGTTTTCAATGTTTCAGTGGATCAGCAGAGGTCATTCACAGCATCACCTTTGCAGATTCCTTTAGAAAAGCAAAGCCAGCTATGTGAGAGCTGTATTACCCAGCAGCAGCCAGGCCGGGGCAGCAGCAGGGACACAGCCTGGCACAGAAGCACCTTGCAGCACCGCTGCTACCAGGAACACCCTCAGATGTGGACACCCCTACCTTTGCCCACCCCACACTCACCTCAGCTGTAGAGCCCTGTCTGCTTAGTGCAGGGAGAGAGGCAGAATCCTCTTCCAAGGAATGTATTCCCACCATCCATTGGTTACCACCCAGAGGCCGTTGGACAGATGTGACAAGTGCCAGCAGGCTGGATAAGGTTGGTCACATCTCTCAGCCCTATACAGCACTCACAAAAGCCACATCTCTGTACCCCCTGGTGCTGCTGAATGTGTCCTCACTGAAAGGAGCGGCAATCCCCCAATCTAGGACTCTTCCTCTGCTCCCCACCCCTGCCTCCAGCAGTGGCACCCATAGTGCCAGCTCACAGTGGCTCTGTACTGGCAGGTCCCTGGACACCTTCAAAATCCCTTTGCCACTTGGTGCAAAGAGCCAGCTGCTCCCTGCTCCTGCCCTGAGGGTGCACTACATCCACCTGCTCAACCCAATCCTGTATGCAGTGCTCTAGATGGAGGTACCTTGTCCAGGGTCAGGAGGGACTTCACACCAAAGCTCATGCACCCAATCAGTTTGCTCTGCCTGCAAAAGAGTCAGAGACTATCAGTGCACACTACCTGAACCCTCCCCCGAGGACCATTTCCCCACATGCACCCCTTTGCAGGGACCATGCAGATATCCCTGCCCACAATGGGAGCTGGGCCATGTCCAGAACATGCTCCTCTCTCCATGCCTCAAGCAGACGTGATGTAACCACACAGTCTGGCTGCAGCAGGAGCAGGAGGGAGCTGGGATGCAGCATCCTGGTCACCTTCCCGATGCTGACAGGACCATGGCCAAGGAACAAGCAGTCACTTGCCTGAGCAGGTGGCACAATCTGTGAAGTGCTAGCGCCAAGCTGCTGTGCACTCCTCATCCCTGCATCACCCCCAGCAGGCAGGGGAGATCCATGGCCCCAAGCCCCACCCAACAGTGTAGATGGGAATGTTAAATGCTGGCTGTGGTGACTGCCACCAAGCAGCAACATCACAGACAGAGGATGGCAAGGGCCAGCAGTCTGCACATGGAGCAGCCTGAACTCCCCATGTGCAGCAGACTTAGTGTCAGGTCCTGCTCTCAAGGAGCTCACATGGGGTGGCCAGAGCAGAGGGCAGGTGCACTGCAGTAACAGCCCTGTCCTAAAAAGATTAAAATGCAGTGTGGAAGCCCCATACCTGCAATCTGTCTCTCGGTTCCAGACCGTGACCAGGAGACGTTTCTGCTCATCCTCCTCCTGTAGCAGGCTGCAAGAAGCAGAAGGGCAGCCCATGAGTGCGCTCTGCCCAGCAGACCTCAGCGTAGGCTGCCTGCAGGGCCATGGGTCCCACACCCTCCTTGAAGCAAGGTATTCTCCATTCCCTGCACAGGCCCCGCAGCATCACCCCAGCTGGCGTTCCTCCAACAAGGCACTGCTGCACCGATGTACTCATTCCTGACACACCACAGCATAGGGATGTGACCTTCCCTAGGCAGGTGCTGGCAACACTGCTCCAGTGCTTTAAGGAGGTATCATGCAAAAGGACACATCCAACATCAATAGACAAAAATGAGGAACAAGGAATTGTGCATGCTATGAAACAAACATTCTGACCCAGATTAAATGTTGCATGAGGATGGAGGTCTGTCAGACATGTTTGCTAGCAATGTACTGAAACATTCCATGCCATAAAGCTCCCTTTCCATGCAGAGACATGCTGGAGCTATAAGAAATCCTTTTACCTTTCTCCTCCATACCGGTGCCAATACTACTGCAGGCGCAAGGAAATTGAGTGCGTTTGCTCAACTCCTGCCCACCAAGTGTCCAACAATGCGGGAACACCACTGCCACATTGTGTGCTGACAGCTTTATGAACTCTGCCCAAAAGTTCAAGACATTTCAGCTATAAAAAACAGCAGAATAATGCCTGTCACTTCTCATCTCAGCAGCAGAGCAGCTCATGTGTAATGCATGTTTATTACAGATCGTAATGTAAAAGCAAACACATCATCTTGGCTTCCAGAGGGTGTTCCAGGACAGTAATCACTGTTTCCCCACTGCTCAGTGGGAGCTGGGGGATAAGCCAGAGCTATCCCTGCTCCATTGTACTCACAAGACAAAGTGCTCATGGAAGACTGGGTTTTTGCTGTCTGGCACAGTCTTTGTTTTCTGTCTGCACTTCCAGTCGGCATCTGGCACAACTGACATCTGCATGGGGAAGCAAGCAGCTCATCAGCCACCTCAAAGTAACACTCAGCACCAGTTCAGGAGAACAGCACAGCCACTGTTACAGGTGGCTGAGTCTCAAAGGTCTGGCTGAGCCCATGCTCACAGGTAGCTGAGATCACTTTGCCTTATGTATGTCAAACAATCACATTACAAAACTCCTTAGAGATTAGTGGAAGGAAAACAGTAGAATATCAGGGACTGGTGCACACAAATGGTGCTGGTCAGTTTCTGGCTTGCAGCCCACTCGCGGAGGAGATGCTTGCTGCCCTGCACACACTACAGGACAGCCCAGGGCACTACTCCCTTGGTTGCCCAGTGGGGTGCTCTCACCCCTGAATGGCTCTCAGAGCCCCTCTCAGAGGTTCTCCTCTGCTCTTCTGGCTCTGTGCAGGCATCGTGTCAACAAAGCCATCAGCCTTGCCACCAGACCAGCAACCTCCCCGCATGCTGCTCAGCCAGGGTAAGGTACAGGAGCCCAAGGAGGAAATAAAAGGGAACATGCTTGGAAGAGCCAACATCAAAGCCCCAAGGGAGCAGAAAGAACCTACCTTCACGTAGGAGTTGCACGGTCGGTACTCTGTCCCCATCAGACCTTTTGCTTCCATGACTAGAAAGGAAACAAAGCAATCAGGCCCCAAGCATCAGGAAGGCAACTCTCTGCACCTCCCTCCCTGCAGGACCCTGTACACCTCCCTAGCAGCTCAGCCTTAAACAAGGGAGGGGTTCTGCCATATTTTTTCTTTATGACAACCCTGTTACAAATACTGGCATCTGTGGGTGAGGTTGGCAGCAGATGTAGTGCAGCATTCAGATGGCAAACAGCATTTCATCTGCCTCACTGGACTCTGCACTGTGTTCTCTGCCCTGGAGCCTAATGTATCATCAAGTAAAATATCCACGGCCACATCCTGATGGCAGCCCCGCTAACGGGGTCTCAGCTTTGTCCCACTGCTGACAGCAGGGGACCCTGTGCTTCCTAAGCAGGAGCTGGAGGCAATATCTGTGCTGCAGAGCCCAGATAGTGCAGGACAGCCTGTCAGAGTGAGGCTGAGCTCACTCCTAACATGTAGAGCAAGGCAGCAATGCCTCTGCCTTTGTCAGAGCAGGATGTATGGCCATAACAAGTGAGGTCATCCTGGCAGAAACCATGGTGCATGAGAGGAGAAAGAGGCTCTACAGGACCCTCTGCAGCCCTGTGGTGCAGTTTGCAAGGTTTCTCCAGGACAGGCCAAAATAAGAGCCTCCTTTGAGTTTAAAGGTGTTGGGGTAGGAAAAAACCAAACATTTTCCTACTGTTGTTTCTGTACAAAGCTTCCCTGCACAACCAGAAAAGGGAAGCAACTGGAGGAGACGAGGGGCTGAGCATGGCTCAGCTGTTCCCCATGCCTCCATCTCAGCACAAACAGGCAGGGTTGAGGCTGGACTGAAAAGTAGAATTTTGCTCAAGAAAAAAGCCTTTTCCATCCCTCCTGCAGGTGTTTGGCACAGTCACCCCAAAAGTTGCTGGGAACCCCAGGTACCTGATTTCCCTTTTGTTCTATAGAGCTTAACTCCATGGCAGCAATGAGCCTGCTTTGCACACAGGAAGGGGATTTTGACTCCACTTCAAATTCTTGGCTTTTTCCTTGAGCCTACAACCACTTATTTATCCCAAAGCTTTAACAAAATCCCAGCAAGGAAAGTTCTGTGTCAGAATACACAAGCACGCACATCTTTCACTGCAGGAACAATCCTAGTGAGCCCCATGGGTGCCCCCAGACAGAAAAGAAACGTGGTTCTGACACTCACATTGGCTCAATACTTGTCAACAAAGTGGCAGTGCTGCAGCTCCTGGGCCTCAGGTCTGGATCCCCAGGTGCTGCACAACTCTCCTTACCACCCAGTCCCCAGAGAATTAAATTTTCAATAGAGCATCACTTGCCCCCAGGGGAACATGTCATGGTGTGAGCAACAGCACCACCATCCAGGACCGAGTCAAATGCATTTTTGAAGAAATATTTCTGATGTTCAGTGTTTGAACTGAACCATTTGGAAATCCTGCAAACAATTTTTGTCCATTTCAGATTTTCTTTTCCAAATTACATCTTTGTCTTTTTCTCTCTTCATAAAGAGTGAAATAAAAACTTGATATAACCAGAATACAAAGCACACTGCAGTCACCTGGAAATGAGAGACTCCAGAAATTTTGGTTCAGCACTGAACTAAAGAGCTGCTCTACTGATGGAGCTGCTCCCAACAGCCACCACAATGCTGAGGGGATGGTACAATGCTGTACCTATCGTATATCCCCCATGGCTCTCTCATGAGGGCCACCTCTCTACACACCTTAGGGCAATCAATACTCACCATGCAGCATCAGAGAGCGCTCCTGCACCTCGATAGACAGCTTCAGCTGGCCTGGGAGAACAGAGGAGAGACAATGAGGAAGTAGGACCCTCACGCTGTCACCAGCATTCACAGCATGGGGAACATGTGCACCCCATGCACAGAGCCAAAACCATCCTGCCTCCCCACCCCAGGCACAGGGGTATTGCACAGCGAGGCAAGGGAAAGGTGTGGAAGGGAAATCTGCTACCAAGGAAGTCTTTAGACTCAAAAACTTTCCAGGTAAAACTGCATACTGCTTTCTCAGTGTGCAGTAAGTTTTTGACACAAACACCCACCAGAAAGAAAGGGGGAGCACCAAGGAGTTGCTGCTGGATGAATTCAGCAGAGGGTGAGGTGAGCCTTGCTGATGTATGCTGCATGTTCAAAGCTGCCCCTGCCCAGCCCACATTCAACCTTCTCTTCCCCTCCCCTGAGCTCCACAGGGCTGCATTTCCCAGGGACCCCAGGCAGCACAGGCTGATGAGCAGACTGGCAAAGCTCCTAAAACCAGGAGTCAACACCTGCCCTAACCTAGAATTAAAAGTCTGCTTTCAGTCACTTTTTTGACACTAAATAGTTGTCAGATAGTGAACAAGGCCAGGAGCTGCCAGCCTCAGGAAGAGCTGTGCTGCACTGTACTGCCTGCAGACCCTCCACTGCTGAGCCAGCAAGAAGGACCCAGCCAGCCCAGGGTTCCATGCACACCAGTTCCTTTGCATCAGGGAGGGAGGGGAAAGCCTGAAAGAGCTATGTGAATGAAATACCACTTTGTAGCAGGTCTGGCTGGAGAGCCCTCAGCCCCCAGTGCCGAAGCCTTGCAGAAAACCCAGTGTTATCATCACGTGAAGAAGAGCAAGAAGCAAGGCAAAGAAGAGATGAAAAGTGGCTCCATAAGCCGGAGCTGAGACATGACCACCACAATGTCGAAACCACAGCCAAGTTTTCCAAACCCAACATTGCTTCCAAAAAGCTGACCCCTCTGAAGGTTGGCACCAGGAGAATCACAGAATCATAGGGGTTGGAAGGAACCTCCAGAGATCATAGAGTCCAACCCCCCTGCCAAAGCAGGCTCCCTACACCAGGTCGCACGGGTAGGCGTCCAGGCGGGTCTTGAATATCTCCAGAGAAGGAGACTCCACCACCTCCCTGGGCAGCCTGTT